TAAAAGAAGCAAAAGTTTTGGCTCCCTATTTATGATGTCAGCATCTTTGACTGCGGGCAAAGCATGCCTCAGGCTCTGGCATTCTTGACAGCTGCAGGGCTCTGCCGAGAGACCAAGCATGCATTTAGGGGCGTGTCAGCAGTGGCATGCCTCATTTGAATACCCATGTTGCACTGCAAGCAGCTGTGCTCCTCTTCCCTTTGCTGTTAATATGATACAAGCTTCAAAAAAACTGATCTTTTTTTACATATTTAGTGGGCTCATTAATATTTATGGCAGATTCTCCAAGTTACAGCTTAATGTAGGGTTGCTCACCATACGTGCAAAAGGCCGGGTCTGCACCTTGGCTGCTGTCAGATGGTTGGACTTTATACTCTGGTTTCTCTTCAGACCGAATAAATCTTTCGCCTTTTACTAAAGATTTCCGTGGAGAGGAACTGATGTAGATTAATTTAGAAATAAACAAAAATGTTTAAAAGTCTATCTGTTTTTGTCCAAATCTGAGATGAATAAATTGCGTATACGCAGAAGTAAGTTCACACTGACACATGCAGTTCAGGTTAAAAACACTTCAGGAAATTTATTAGCATCTAGTTAAAAAGCGGGCACGCAGGCCTTTTTATATGCAAAATGACATCATCATTGAATATCAGATAATAACAAATAAACATCATTAATTGGGTTAAATGTTAAGTGGCTATGTCAGTGTCCACCCATTAATATTATTAATTGGCTCAGAGATTTGAGTGACTAGTGAGGCACCCTCCCATCATGGGATGTCGTCGCCATTGCTCTTTAGCACGAGGCTTACTCGGTGGAAAGGGGGGCTTGGGCGTCATTTTACGTAGTTAGTGATGTCAGTCTCGTGGTCTGTTCCAAGGTTCTTTTATGAATAGAACATTTCATTTTGTCGCTGTTCTCCTGGCCTTGGATTATACTATGTTGCAAATCAACGGAGATCCGCTAACTCCGGGGCTAGTTATGTCCTTAGAGAGAGAAAATACAATCTCTTATTCATTATACTGAATACTGTCAGGAAATTCTGTCATGTAAGGTGAACAAAATGGAGTTAGTACAATAATTCAATACAGGTTCTAATAAAGATTTTAATAATTCTACATCAGTCCCCCCTATAAAATGTTAGATTCTAAAAGATAATCTTTATTTGTTAGTATCAGAAGACGTGTTAGCCCAAAGGCACAGAAACCCCGTGACCCGCTAGCTAGGTGTTATTGCAAAGTGCAAAGCTGTCCCTTCGTCTGTCCCTAATTGGCTAACTCATCTGTCCGCTGGGCACTCGAACACTTCACTCCATGGGTATCCCGAGGTGGCTAACCCACCACATCTCCGCACGGTAGACTTCCCAGACAGACAGATGCTGTCCCTAAGCTGGTCCCTTCCTAGAACTCTTGCACTTTATCAATAAACGGGATAGATTGTAGCGGTATACAGGGCGAGTTGACTTTTTGGAAATCTTGGTCATCAACTGTGAGGTGTGCGTAAGTGGGTGCCGCTTGGTCTACAGTCTTCAAGAGGAGCTTTCTCAGACAAGGGAGGACACAACAAACGAGAAGAGCAAAGATAAAAAGGAAAATTAGTATTGCTATACCAATATGCATCAAAGCTTTTTGCCATCCTGTCATCCAACCAAACCATCTCTCCCAGGGATCTTTTATCCCAGAGTTCCTCTTTAGCTCCTCAGAGAGCTCTTTCAATTTTCCTATAGCTAAGGTTACTTTACCATTGGGGCCTGTGTTTTCTTGGATGTAAGTACAACATGTCATGGTGTCAGGCAGAATTTTACATACCCCTCCTTTTTCTGCTAGAATCATATCTAAAGCCATTCTATTTTGGAATGACATTTGGGACGTAGCCTGCAGCTGTTCGGCCAAACCCTGAAGGGCATCCCTGGTGTAATTAACAAACCGTTGTTGGTTGTAGTAGATGTAATTTATCCAATTTAAATTCTTGTTTGCAGTGACTATGGTAAAAGTGATTCAAATCCTGCAGCAACTTCATCCCTGGCTTTAAACTCATTGGGCACCCCCCTAGGTACCCCAATGGCATCAATGTAAATATGAGGGTCAAAACTGCCTTTACTGGGGCTTCACGCTTTACCTTGGTTGGTGAGTGTTTGGACTCATGAGTATCGGGGTGTGTGTCAGAGATAATATGTATGGGCATGATTGCTTTAGCCAGAGTACACTCCCCCCACCATTCTTTATCCATTCTTGATCTCAGCTGTAGATCCCCACACAACCAGTAAATATCCCCCAATGATCTAGTGTTGAATTGTAGGAGGTTCATAGAGACAGTTCTGTAGGTGGCACAATAACCTTTAGAGAAGTTACCCACAAATTTACCAATTCCATCATAATTAGCATAACAGGTATAATTACCTTTATAGACGGTAACACCATCTGGGGGTTTGCAATCTTTGACTAGAAGAGGATACTCTACTGTCCATGCTTTACATATGGACCTATTGAAATTGTAGTGATAGGCAAAAAGACTCAGAACACATTCTTCTATATCTACTGGCAAAGTTGAAGGCACAGTGCCCAGGTGTGGCCGGGCACCACCACACACATAGCATGCGGTTCTGTTATGTTTGTTGGCATTATATTTCATCCATTCTAACCATAGATTAACATCATTGAAACCTGTTTCAGCGGCCATGGTATCTTCAAATGTTGGATTTGCAATGGCCATCATGTCTTTAAAAGATTGGATGTGTGGTTTCAACGGATTTGAGACCATGTGGGTGGTCCCTTTCCACTCAGGAGAGTGGCACATATCTTTAAGGTGGAAATGTCCTAATTTATTATAGGAACCCTTCTTCCAGTACATTCCCATTACATACTGGTCTGCATCCGTTGGGCTGGGATGCTCAATGTTTAAGATTAATTTCATAGGTATGCCTCCTCCGGGCTTTCTCAGAGTCATTCTCTGGAGGAGGGACCTACCGTGATCATCAATTTTAGATAAGACACTTTTTGGTTTGTAACCCCAGGCAGGCCCGGCATTCCATCCCGCCGCCCCCCAATGGTTACAGTTGTGCCCCCATTGTTTGTCAACTACACAAACATAGGGGTCTTTTGAATGAGGGATATCTCTATAGATATTCTGAATCTGTGACGTGGGGAATGGGCATTCTACGATGTCACAGTAGTCAAAAGTATAAGTAGCCACACGGGTACATGATGAATTATACCAGAAGGTGTACCCACTAGCATCTTTGGTGATGGCCACCTGCTGGGCTTTAAGGAGGCCAACTAAGGAGATAATGTACCAGAGGCACATGGTTGCATAGAGTTAGCTTCCTCTGGGGCAGGTGTCTTCTTGCAATGGGAAGCGTGGATCCAGTTAGGCCTTCCGGCCAATTTGACAGAGGTAGGGGAGATCAGGAGAACTTGGAACGGACATTTACTGTTTTCGCACAAATTTCTTGACCAGAACCCAGTCATCGGGGAGCAGACTGTGGTTGCCTGTGTCAGAATCAGGATCTGGAATTGAAGAGAAAACTTGGGCATGGATTTTGTTTAAGGCGTTTGCGAGTTCAGTTACATAATCTACTAAGACATCAGTTTGAAGTTGTAGTTGTTGGGGAAAATAGCAACCTAGCCTAGGTGCAGTCCCAAATAGAATCTCATATAGGGACAATGAGGTAGTATTTTTGTACAAGAGCATTCATTAGATCCTTTGATAAATGTGCAGGTCCGTGTGCCCATTGTACGACTGCTGGGTACAAATTCTTAGGGAGGCAGAACTTGAGGTTGTTGGAGTACACTCCATCCTTCAGAACTGCCCCTTTCTGTTTCCACTTCTGTATTTCTTCAGGGGCAACTGTAGCCTGTTGTTCCCGCAGGATTTTTAGGTCAGTTGGAAGAGTCTGCAGAGTAAATATGGGAGTTTCTTCATTTCCGGACACTCTTCTTTCCACTTCCTGTGGTTCTTTTGCAGCTTGTTTTGCAGCCTGATCAGCTAGATGGTTGCCCCTTGCTTCATCTGAGTCCAACTTCCCATGTGCTTTTATCTTCAAAATAGCCACTTCTTCTGGGAGTAGGAGGGCGTCCATCAGCTCCTTGATTGCGGAACCGTGCTTGATTGGTGTACCGGCGGTGGTAAGAAATCCTCTTGTTTTCCAAATTAATCCGAAGTCGTGAGCCACGCCCAGTGCATATCTTGAATCCGTGTAGATATTGGCGCGCTTTCCTTCAGAGATCTTGCATGCTGAAGTCAGGGCTTGCAATTCAGCTTCTTGTGCAGACATAGTTGATGGTAAAGATGATGATTTGACAATTTCATCTGTTGTGGTTACGGCATATCCTGTATGGTATCTTCCTTCTTCATCAGCATATCTTGAGCCGTCCACAAACAGGGTGAGATCGGGATCTACCAATGGGTCTTCATGCACAGTTGGTAGATGTGTTGTTTCCATTTTCATCTGTTCAAAACAGTCATGAGGTGTATCTGGGTCGTAGTCATTCACTATGGTTAAATCTTGGAACTCATTCTCCAGGAAATGACGCGGCCATGCTTTTAGGTGGTCAGTTGTTGGATATTTGACAACACCATTTTCCTGTAGCTGTGATTCGTCCATAGTGGCCCATGCTTTTGCCATAGGCCCAAGATCATTCCATGATATTGTTTTCAACTTGGTCACAGGGACATGTGGAATGGCAGTGTCCCAATGACGGTACAAATGCTTGAGTTCCGGAGGTAGATGAATCAAGACCATACTGTTGCCTTCAGAATCACAGTAGAAGTCTTGTGCAGTGAGTTTTACTTCGACCAGATGATAGAGTTCATCTTCATAGCAGGTTTCAGGAGTGATGTTTGATTTGTACCACATGGTACAGAAGGCATATCCTGCTCCGTCATGAAGGAGTGCTTGTCCATCATGAAAGGATAGGTTGGGATGCATTTCCTTCTTGATGGTGCCAGTGAGAAGAAAAAACATAAGTTTCGTCCATGATGAATCCGTAGTATACACCCCCCTCAGGGAGTGGCAGAAGAGTGGACGGATTGAGAACTTGACATCTTTGGAGGGTAATGTTGTCAGGCAACAAAAGATGACATTGAAGGCGAAGATGCCTAGCAGGAGTAACATGCTTAAGTTGGACCTGGTTGACTATGGCAGAAATGTCATGGGGGGCCAAGACAACCAGGGGGTGGCCAAGGACAAGATCTCCAGTTCTTTCAATGAGCTCTCTGGCAGCAAAGACGGCCCGAAGGCAAGAGGGACGTCCTCTGGCCACAATATCCAGTTGGCAGGAGAAAAATCCAATAGGCCCTTGGCGGCCTCCAGGACCATGGGCCTGAGTGAGCACTCCTGTTGCATGGCCTTGTCTTTCAGAAACAAACAATTTGCATGCCACTGAGAAGGCTGTCAATTTGGTGTCTTGAGCAGATGTGGGTGAGGAAAGTAAAGATGCTTGACGTACCTGATCTTCTGTAGCAACAGCAAATCCAG